AGAGGCAGTGTGGTTGGCGCAGGATAGAGCAGGGTTTAGGGCTGTTGTGCATAGGGTCGCTATGAGTCGGAAACGACTCGACGGCACATAACAACAACAAACAACAAACTAAAGCAAGTGAGTTAACCCCATGAAGGTTAGAATGACATTTGGAAATATTAAAGCAAGCCTGTTTGAGCCATCGGTCCCGTCATTCTCTCTTCTTTTGTAATGCATGTAAGGGTGGTTGTCTTGAGGGTGTGTTGGTGGTGCTGCTGACCTGAAGATGGTGCCCATCTGGTGGTTTGAATCCACTAGCTTGTCCTCAGGATAAAAATGGGCAAGGTCTTCTGTCCAATTGATTGACACCCTCCTGAAAACTCACTGGAGGGTCAGCTGGGAGTCGGTTCTGACTCAGTGACTAGTTTTGAGTTTTTGAGTTCCAGAATATCAGACATTAGTGTTCTTCTGTCTTTTCCTTGTTTCCTTAGCTTCAAGCCTGAGAACCCCGATGGCTGTTCCGTGTCCATACCCAACCCCTTTTGGGATTGTACCCCACGCTGGTATGAACGGAGAGCTTACCAGCCCTGGGGCCGCCTATGCCGGGCTGCACAACATCTCCCCACAGATGAGCGCTGCTGCTGCCGCCGCCGCTGCTGCCGCTGCCTACGGAAGGTCCCCAGTGGTGCGTGCATGGGCCTGCAGAGTGGGACTGTCCCAGGGAGGAGAAAGCTATCCCTGTGTGCTTATGACTGCAGTGTGCAGGCTGAGATTGGTGGACTGACAGAGCAGGACGGTCCCTGGGGGGAAAGGGCTGTCCCTGTGTGCTTGTGACTACAGTCTGCCAGGTGAGGTTGGTGGGCCTGCAGAGCAGGACTATCCCCAAGGAGGAGAGGGCTATCCTGTGTGCTTGTGACTACAGTCTGCAGGGTGAGGTGGGCATGGAGGAACCTGTGTTCTCTTGTATAGCCAAGTAAGCCAAGGGATCTGCGTTCTTTTGTAAGATGGGTAGTTTCTATTATATTATAGTGCATCTTGTTTTTAATCTTAAGCATTGACCATATAATAAAATGAATATAACAAACCCCTTAAGGTCCCCAGTGATTAACATAGTTTGTTCTTGACCAGAAAATTAGTGATTCGAATTCTTCAGAGGCCCTTCGGGAACAAAGTCTGGCGATTTGCTTCTGTAGATATTTCCACTGAGAAACCCGTAGAGTAGCTTATTCAACCATGCACAGAGCAGCCATCAGTTAGAGCCCATTCTGTGGCCGTGGATGCGGGACTTCCGTGCGGTGCCCCTCCTGAGCTGCTGCAGATCTGAAGACCTTTTTGCCCCCATGTGTCTCACAGTGATGCTGCATTCAGCCCTTAAATCCGAAACATCATTTGACTTCATTAGTAAATGGTTTACAGATATCCAAAGTCATGTTTTCAGTCTTTGCTCTCAGGTTTTAGAAAAGACATTAAATAGGACAAAATGAATTAATGGAGCCACACTTGTTTTTTGTTGTTTTGCTGGGGGAAAATTCTAGGTTGGCTTTGACCCACACCATCACATGCGAGTCCCAGCGATACCTCCCAACCTGACGGGCATTCCCGGAGGAAAACCGTAAGTAGCTTGCGCTTCTGTACATTGTGCCTCACAACCTGGTCCCTGGCTGGCCCTGCGCAGAGTCCTCTTGGACAAGGGGTGGGTGCCTTTCACAGAAGATTGTGGAGAGATCTCACGGGTTGTGTTTTTCGTCCTTGCAAAGTATTTTTCATTTTCCCTTAGCATAAATGAAGAAGCAGTGGAGAAGGATTTTGTATTTTCACTTGAAAAATTTGAGCTTCTAATATGGAAATGCAGCTTACACCAACATCTCCAGACCTCGGGTCTCCTCTGTGTCTGTTACTGATTTCAAGACGGATCTTCTGTTCAGAAAGTCTGGTGATTGTTTGCATGCCTCTGAATGCTCAAAAGTTGGACATGTTGGACTTCAGATGTAGAAAAGAAGTCAGAATGGCATTTTTTGGGATTTTTTTTCTAGGAAAGGTGGCTTACTCAGTTGGCTGCCTGGACGTGAGCTGCGTATTTAGAGTGTCTGTGTCCATCCCTCTTTGAGTTACGACACACACAATACCACATGCCGGCTTATGTAGCCATTCCTGAATGTTCTATTTGCTCTCTATATCTCATCCATGTCCTTCATTTCAGTCCAGTGCACCTGTGTTCATTACTGCTTAGGTCGTCCTGGTAATTTGCTCCTCCCAGATGTGAAAGCTTACGTCAGCATGAGTGTACGCACTTTCTCTCAAATCCCGCAATTCTCAGCTCCTTCTCGTGTCTCTCACTTGAGGTCGTGCTTGGTTGTTCCCACTGTTCTGCCCTTACAGCCTTGTCTTAAGTTGCCTCCTCACTTGCTGCCACCCTCGTTTAGATTCCCCCTCCACTTTGATACTCCTGTGTAGCCATGGTGTGCCTTGTCCCACTTACACAGAAATGCCTTGGCGGGCCAGCAGAAATGTCTGCTGTTCAGTTCAGAGAAGTGATACCAGGGTCTAAAACAGTACCTCCTTCAAGGATGGTGCTCACAGCTTACTTGTTCATGGAATGAATGAATGAATGGTTATGTCCCAGTCTCTCTCCTCTGACCTCCCATTGCTTGTTTCTTCACTGTTACACTTAGTTGTCATCCGGTTGTTTTTTCGGCGCCTACTTAATCTCCTGTTGTCCTAACCTCACCTCCCACCCCACCCCCAAGTGTTGAATAGGACTCACCTTGACCCTTTCTCACTTTCTTCTGACGCTGTGTCAATCTTGGATCTTCTTCTGTCACTCACTTCTCCACTGACTGCTGTGAACTTCCCCATCGTGTCAAACTCAGAGCTGGCTCCATGGTCAAGTAGCTCAGTAAATATTTGATTGATTAATAAGGGAGAGTTCGAGGTATAAACATCAATTACCATAGCATTCTGTGTACCTGTGTGTGTTCTGCAAACAGTTGTTGACTGACAGGTCTTGTTGACCAAGTGCTGTCAGGTATAGGCGGGTGACAGTTTGACCTTTTCCAAGAAATGACTAAATAGCAGGGTCAGAGGATTAACCAAATAACTCAAATGCCTGTGCCTATGAACTTGTGTTGCGAGAGAGGCCTTCTTTAGGAGAGGTGCTTTCTGTTTGTCAGGGACTGCACATTTACCAAGCTGCTGTGCTCAGAGCCTGCAATACAGCCCTCGGTGTACAGAGGCGTGGTGCTGCTTCCCTCAGCAGCCACCCTGAAGCCTCACTGAAAGCGTGCAGAAGTAGCTGTCATTCTGACCACTAGCAACCCCATGTGTGTCAGAGCTGAACTGTGGAAACCGTAGAGTTTTCAGTGGCTGAATTTTCATTAGCTCACCAGGCCTTTCATTCTAAGGACTCTGGATGGACCTGAACCTCTCAGATGCTCCACTGTTTCAGTTAGCACCTGAGCATATTGGCATTTTGCACTCCTGGGAAACTCTTCAGATGTGTTGGGTATCTTTAAAGACATGATGGCCATCTTGGTTTGGGCCCATTGAATCACAGAGGCGTTGTAACTGGTCAGGTGGGAGAGGGGCTTCTTTCTGAGGCATCATTTAGACTCTTAGCTTTCTCATGTTGATTCTCAGCATTAGAAGTTTTTTGAGAACCTTAGGAGGGAGAAGGGCGGTCTGGTGGCCTTGTGGGTGGGGAGTTGCACTGCCGATCCAAAGGCAGGCAGATTGAATCTACTGGCTCCTCCTTGGGAGAAGGATGAGCTGTCTTTTCCCCATGTGACTTAGAGTCACAGAAAAACAATGCTCAGAGGCTCAGCTGTAAGTTGATTTCTACTAGCTGGCAGTGAGTTTGAGGTTCAAGAGGGAAGGGGGGGGGATGAAGGATTATTGGGACATTTTCTTCCTGGAAATGAAGTAATACTTCTTCTACTGGCTAAGTCATACCTCTGCTACTGGCTAAGTCATACCTCTGCTACTGGCTAATAATACTTTATGAGGAATCCCATAAGAGCCTTGGTTGACAGATACAGGCTAGGAGTCCATCAGACCCAGGTTTGCATTCTGACTCTGATGGTCAGCTAGGAATATGGCTTCATGCACAATTCCTGTGAGCTTCAGAGATGGCACCATGAGAGGTATGAGGATGAAGTCTGGAACACGAGGTGTTAAACATCGTCATTGTGCTTAACCTCGTGGAACATGGTGGCTCTTCAGTAAACTTCAGCATCATCTTCCTTGCAGACTTGCCCCCCACAAATATTAACCGTTTCTCAACTAACTTATGGAGTAGAAGCTACAGCAAGTTTCAGGGAACTCACATCATTCAGAAATGACTCAAGATTGAACCAGTTTGAGTCCATGATTTTTTTCCTCTGGTGTATCTTTCTGTAATGTAAGCAAGACACATATAAATGCTCATGAGCTTTGAGTCCAGCTTTTAGAGCAGGGATGTGAACTATTGTATGACTCTAGATCTTAAGATACAGAAATGTGACACTTTGTCTAGTGCAAAGCACATTGTCTTTTGCTCACGTAAAACTACAAATCAACTAAAAGCTCCTCACTCCCTGCAAAACCCACTTTCTCTAGAAAGTCAGTTGTCCATCTTGGTCTTAATTATTTTTTACAGAATGAATTGTTAGATATTATAAAAAATCATAATTAAATGTATATACCCAACTAATGAATAAAGTAGCATTTCTTTGATAAATTCAAGTTGGATCCTCTTATCTACGTAGGTCAGTTTGCAGTTGGAGGGATAAGTTGAAAATGGACTTTTCCCCACAATACTTACATGAGATTTACATGGATAGTTGGAAATGATTCTGTTAAAAAACATGGTATTAATTTACCATGGGCAATGGCATGTGACTGCTGCAGTGACAGAGAGCTGGGGCTCTTGGGCTGCAGGCTACTCACAGTTGGGAGACCTGCCTGCATTGTGTCTGTCTTATTTTGGTTTGGTTGTTTTTCTTTTCTTTCACTTTTTAAAAAGTAAACTGGAGCTTTCAAGATGGTAACACATAGTAAGCACACCAAAGGATTTGTTGATTAACAAATCTACTCAGCAGTAACTCATTGCTGATATCGGACCCTCCAGAGGGTTTTCAGAGGCTCTAAATCTCATAGGAGGAAGTTGCTCAATTTTTCTCCCCCAGGTAAATTTGAACAACTTGCCTTTAGTTTGACAGTGCACTCCATACCCATTAGGCCACTAGAGCTACTGAAAAACTTTTTAGTGGGCGCATAAAAGACTTGAAACCTTAATATTCTATTATACTTCACAAATCCACCAAACTCTTTTTGCCATCTGGGCAGCCTGTTGTAATTCTAACTCCCCCTCCCTCACTCCCCCCTCTCTCTTTCTCTTCCTCCTCCTCTCTCCCCTCTGTGTGTGTACTATCGAGTCAGATCTGACTGGTGCAGGAGGAGCTTGCTCCTCCTTCTCCAGCAGAGCATCTGATGGGTTAGAACCACGCACCTTTGGGAGTGCAGAGCAGCTTCTTGCCACTAGGGCACCAGAGCGTGTGCACGCCTTCCCCCCCACCCCCCCAAACATTTTAAAAAGAGAGTGACTTGCAGGTCCCTGTGTTGTCTGAAATCTTCTTCTGTCATAAAGTAAATGTAGCATATTCAGAAACAAATTGACCCTTTTCCTTAGGTGTCTTCTGTCTTTGTAGCATGCCCTTGAATTCCTGCTCCTAGCTTTTCATAGTTTCATGGGCTCTGTGTGTGTGCATGCATGCAACTCTCTGTGTTTGAAGACAGTGTACCCATGCACTTCCCCTCCAGCCCTTTTCAGTCAGTTCTCTGGGTGTGTCAGCATGTATTACTTACTTCTTAAACTCATTCTCCTTAGGAAGTACTTTCCTATACTATGTCTTGATCCCATTTTCCCCCAGCCCTATTGGTGTGGCCCTTAGGGAGCAGCCACTGCAAACCCCATAAACCAAGCCTGTCTGGGGACTCAAATCCACTAACTTTTGGAAGAAAGATGAGCTGTCTCCTTCTGGGCAGTTCACAGGTTCTTGTTTCCTGAGCATAGAAACATCATTGCTGTTTTCTCTTCACATGGTATTTGTTAACACTCAAGAGTTCTTTGTTGACTTATTTCTTTTTTAAAATTTTTGGTTCTTTTTTTTTTTTAGCCTTTTTTTTTACATGTTTTTGTGGGGTCTTTTAAATTCACATTGTATTTCATATGCTTATTCTCATACATTGTGTCTTATAAAAGTAGTCACCTTTGATCTGTGTCTGCTATTACCCCATCTTTTTTAGGTTCCCACTATCATTTCCAGTTACTTCATCCCCTCCCTCAACCCACCAAAACTCTGTGACTTGATTTCTTCCTCTGTGCACCCCCCGCAGCCTCTGGCCCACTCCCGTTCCTTCTTTTATAGACATCTTTCTAGTTATCCTTCTGTTTTTACAATAATAGTCTTAGGCAATATTTGTCCTTATGTGCCTGAGTTAGTTCACTCACCATAATGCTCTCTAGCCTCTTCCACGTTATATAGTATTTTTCAAAATTCTTGTTCCAGAATGCTGCATGGTATTCCACCGTGTGCTTATAAGACAGTTTCTCACCTATCATTTGTTGATGAACAT